AGTAGGCCTATGTTTGCCTGTCATTTCACTCTCTATTCTTTTAGTTATAATTCTGCTCCTTAGATTACCCTGTTCTTTCTTGGCATTTTCCCTGATACCCTTCATTATTTTCTCGATGTGTTGTTCACTAGCGTCCTTTCTTTCCCTCTGAGTCTCTTCGATCTTTTTTTCCTGAGTCTCTTCGTTTGGATTTGGCTTGGGATCTTCTGGTTTAGTTTCTTGTTTATGGAGAAAATTCTCTGGGGAGAAACTAGAGTCTGATGAATAATTGTCCTCCTCTAGCGCCTCCTGTGAAACAGAGTCTTCATACTCATCCATATAGTGTTCATTCCCATCGCCTAATCCAATAAGCCGTTTTATCCACTCGTTCCATCCATATTTCTTCTTGGGCTGGGACTCACTAACTGTATCTTGTGCTTTCTCTTCAAATTTTTCAACTTCTTCACCTTCTTCAACTGGTTCTTCAACTTCTTCAACTGGTTTTTCACCTTCTTCAACTGGTTTTTCACCAACAGAAGTCAAAACTTTTTCTTTGACAGGAGTCTGAACTTCTTCATTGACAGGAACTACTGAAGCTCTCGCTTCATTGACAGGAGTAAAAAATTCTTCACTGACAGAAGTCCACACATCTTCACTAACTAGTACTTCTGCTGTTTGGATTTCATGAACAGGAGTCTTCTTCGCTTTTTCACTAACTGGTACTTCTGCTGTTGGTACTTCATGAACTGGAGTCTTCTTCGCTTTTTCACTAACTGGAGCTGCGGCTGTTGGAGTCTTCACTTTTTCACTAATTGGTACTTCTGCTGCTGGAGTCTTTGCTTCTTCACTAACTGGAGCTGGAGTCTTCTTCGCTTTTTCATTAGCTGGAGCTGGAATCTTCACTTTCTCATTAGCTGGAGCTGCTGCTGCTGGAATCTTCACTTCTTCATTGACAGGAGCTGCGGCTGTTGGAGTCTTCTTCACTTTTTCATTGACAGGAGCTGCTGCTGTTGGAGTCTTCACTTCTTCACTAACTGGTACTTCATGAACAGGAGTCTTCTTCACTTTTTCATTAGCTGGAGTCTTTACTTCTTCACTAACTGGAGCTGGAGTCTTCTTCACTTTCTCATTGACGGGAGCTGCTGCTGCTGGAGTCTCTGCAGTTCCCCATCGGAAGAAGCTGAAGAACCAGTTGAAAGATCTGAAGAACGATTTCTTTGTCCATTCAGCCCACGTAAGATTCTCTTCGCTAGTTTCTGCTGTCTTATTTTCTGCTGGCTCCTCTGCCTTATTTTCTTCTGGTTCTTCTGTCTTATTTTCTTCTGGTTCTTCTGTCTTCTTTTCCTCTGGTTCTGCTGGTTCCTCTACTGGAGCACTCTTTGGAGTCTCTCCCTGCAGTGACGAGGGAGACAATTCTTCACTCTCCTCCAAGGGCCCACTCTTCGTAGCAGGAGATGCACTGGAGACACTCTTTGCTTTCTTGGGCTTCCCTACTTGCCAGATAAGCGTAGTTGTGCTAATGGCCAGAAATATCACTAGAATTGTTGTTATGATAGTTATAACCTTGTTTCTTTTCATAGATATAAGCATGTTTTCCATTTGCGTTTTTTCGTTTCTGTTTTTATTTATACTTTTCTTTTGATCTCTCCCTCCAAATATGCTCTGATTGCAGTATTTTGTTAATTTACTCCTACGCCCGCAAAATATTTAAGCTACTCGCTGAGTAATCCCCCGAATATCCAAATCCTGCCAAAAAAGCACAAATTATCCCCTGGAAATTAAAGCAGAATTTATCCCCATGCAAGATGTGACACGAAATCTCACGGGAAAAGGAAAGATGCATTCCCCTGCAGAAATACACAGAGAAATAAAATACTCCGAATACTCCGAATAAAACACTCTCTCCCTCTCCTGCATAAAGTGCTGAAAGAGTATCATACTCCTAGACAGCCTGCACACTGCGTGAGTGAAACTTCTTTAGAAATAAGACAGATATTATGCGGATATTTTGAGTCCAGTAAGCAGCTAATACACCCGAATAAATAGCAATATTTCATCTATCTATCTCCCTGCATTATCATACTTCTACTGCAAACTCTTCTTTTGACGTTAATTAAGTTTATAGTAAAACTCATCCTGTGAGATCCCGCCTTGGCCTTCTCCTCGTGAATCCATTATCCCCCTTCCTCCGCCCATCCCACGCACTCTTCACTCTCCCCCCTATAAACGCGGCAATAATCCCCGCAGGAATTAAAACTATTAAAATATCCGCAGGAATATTCCCGTATGAAAAAGCACTTTCAATCACCTCCCCACTCCCAACATTCGGAACAGGAACTATTGGGACTCCTCCTGTTCCCGTCTGAGCCCTTAAATATGCGCGTATTTCCGGTACAGTTGCCTTTTTGCTCTCCATAAGGACGGATATATACCCTGCCGTATACCCTGCGGATATGCTAGTTCCCTCTCTTACCCCGTACTTCGTCCCTGGAGAAATTTCACTCACCTCCCCAACAGTCGCACTCCCAGGAGAGTACACGTCAACGCACTCCCCACCATTCGACCATCTCTCAGGATATCCCCTAGGAGAGAGACTTCCCACAGTAATTGTGTACTTGGACCTTCCCGGACTGTACTCGCACGAAGACTCTCCACTATTCCCAGCTGAAACTACAACGGGAATTTTTGCGTCGTAAAAAGCCTTCAGAGAAGCGTCCAGAACAGGAGACTTTTCCCCGGAAAAAGGCAGCAAAATTATTTTTCGGCTTTCCGTGGATATTCCGTCGAGAACGCTCAGGATATCCGGAAGATGCGCAACCCCAAAGGAAAAAACAGGATGCAAAATGAGGCTAGACTCTTTCCCAAGGCCTGTAGTACGCCCTCCTGCTGCCGTCATAACAGCTGTCGAGTGAGAACTCGGGGAACTCTGAGACTTTTTTCGAATAACGGAAACTCGTCCCTGAATTTCCCTGTGGATTCTCCCAATATCTCCGTCCAGGACTTCTATCGTAATCCCTTTTCCCGTGTAGTTGCTCAGAAGGGGGAAGTATCTGTTCCTGTACCACTGGAATAGGCTGGACTGTCTCAGGAGATACCCATTTCTCACATACGCATTCACGAGAGAGTCAGCCCAATCCACGCGGAAGAGCTTCTGATGGCTGTTCATCGTCACGTAGAAATTATCTGGGAGGTTCTCCTGCCTGTATGCGAGCGTATACTGCTTGCTCGCCTCTACTTTCACCGCCCGATTCGAGACACTTTCCAGGACCTTCTCCAACTCCCCCGGGGGAATTCCCCCACACGCAGAAATTCCGTGGAAAATATTCCTGTAGATGTACTGCAGATATCCCCCGCGCTCGATCAGGGCTTTTCTCAGGAGGAATTCCTGACGTCTGCTCACTCGCTTCTCCGCCACTGCGATCGTACACTCTGCGGGGGAAAGGAAGTTTTTTTTCTCTTTCTCTTTCTCGGACTCTGCAGTGGATCTCGAGGAAAGAACAGAAATTTCACTCTCTGGGCCCGAGGGTTCGCCCCTCGGAATACTCTCAGGGATACTCTGGGGGTTGCTGAGGGCGTGGACTTTTGCTATTCCGTGGTCGCTGACTATTATCGTAATATCGTCTCCAAAGACCTTGAAAGCCTGCACACTCGCTGCAAGCAGAAGTATCCTGCACCTTGCAAACATGAAAATGAAAGTCTCCCGTGTTTTAAAGAATAGAATAGTTTATTGGGCCATTTCCCTGATTTGTTTCTCCTCTGCGGTTAGGAAGCTCTTGAGAACTCTCTTCTCTACGCACACGGCACAGACTGTTCCTCCGTATGCTCTGTTGATGGTTCTCTGGGACTTCGGGAGTCTAGCAAAGTCAGCTGGTCTCATTGCGGGTATTCCCCGGAGGCTCTGCTTGCAGTCTCCGCACTTTTGGGTGCTTCCAGCCTTCTTCTGCTTTCTGAAGAAGAGCTCTCCCTTCTCGTTCTTGCAGAACATCATCTTGTTGCTTGGGGTGACGTACGGGTTGTATCCTGCTCTAACTACTCTTTGTGCCATTTACAAGGCTTAAATAAAAAAGAAAAAGAAAAAGAAAAAGAAAAAAGAGAAAAAGAGAAGGGACTGTTTGCTTGGGGGGAAAAGAATGGGAAAAAGTCGAAAAAATGGGAGGGTGTTGGACTTTGTGAGTGTGCGGGGGAGGGTGTGGGGAACACTTCTGGTGAAACTGCGACTCTGTGGGGGGATATTGTGGGGGTTGCTTGATTTTTCTGCTGAATTTTCAGGTTCTTCAGGCAGAGAGAAAGAAGATTTCTGGATATTCTGTCTGGTTCTGAGGGAGTATCCTTCGCCTGGGCGTTCCTGCAGTTTATGCTTGTGCTTAGTCCGCTGTGGTTTGTGCTGGTGCTCCTTTCTTCCCTTTCATGCGTTCTCCTGCCGTGGTTTAGGCCTTTTCTGGGATTTTCCTGAGAAAATCAGGTTTTCTCGCGGTCTTAGGCTGCCTGGTTTTAGCAAATGCATTCCTGGAGTGCCCTGCACAGATAAAGCTAAAAGTAGAGGATTTTGTGGGAGTTTCTATCTCCTCCTCTGAAACTATGTTTGTTCTCCGGAGTACTGTGAAACTTGTTTTTTCTATGGGGAGAGTTCACGAGTTTATGGCTCCCGTATTGGTGCTGCACAGAATTTGCACCTGAATAACCCAAATAAATACGTTCTTTTCTATCAGCACACTCTCTATCCTGCTAAAATCCCCGCGTTTAGCGAGTAAAACCCTCTATTTTGGGTGTTTCAGGGGCTTTCCCCGTAGGAGATTTCTGTGTATTTATGCTGAAATGCCGGATTGTTTTAAATTTGTCTCTGCATAGTGTAGTAAATGCAAAAAAAAGTGTACGGATTTACTTCTGGACTATTCAATGCAGTATGCAGTGGGATTTATTCGTATTAGGAGGAAAAGGCGCGAGAATGCACAAATAGGGCGCGGGAGGCACAGAAAGATAGTAACATGGAGGAAATACCGTGCAGACGCAGGATATGTCCTTGTATTTACACGAGAGCGCCTGATGGAAAAGACTCTTTTCCAAGCAGCTCTAAAATGGGGTCTTAAACACCCGCGGAAGAGCGGGGATGTGCCATCTGCGGAGGGATGTGCACCCCTGCCTGGAAAGTGCTTCTTTTTTTCGATGAAAATCCCAAGTTCCGCCTTTGGCTTCCCGTATTACAACTCCGAACACGCAAAAATCTGCAGAAAAGCATCCCGTGAGATCGCATATTTCTGCACTTTCTTCCCATTTTCAGCCCAAAAGATCACTTTCTGATCTTTAGAGCCTTAAGACAGTGATAAGCAAATAGTTTTTTCACAAATAAAATGTGCGAAGAACTTGAAGCAGCTGAAAGCATTTCAAGCCCCCGTATAACTGGAATACACACTTTACCCGCTGCGAATAGATCGGATATAACTAGCAGAGCAGCCTACACTCTCGCAGGGGTTGTTATAGCTGTAGTTTTCCTCTATGCAGTCATAAAAGTGGGTAAATTCAGGGGTTTGAACTCTCTCAAGAAGCTACAGGATGCAATCAGAAGAGTCTCGAGACTTTTCCAGGGAAAGCGAGAGCCAAGAAATCGGGCAGGCCAGAACGATCGGATGGGCTTTAAAGAGAGAGCATCCGCATGCAAAGCCCACGAGCAGATCCCTTTGATAAGAGTTAGCCCAATCAGAGCCAATAACCCCAGTACATCCCGACTTTTCAGCAGAAGTACCAAAGAAGAAAGCCATCTGCAGGCCAGGAAAACTCCCCTTCCTCTCGTAGGCCAGGAAGTACTCCAAAGCATTCAGCACCATCAGTATCCACTAGAATAACCCGAACTCCCAGTAAGATCCCTCCATCTCAGGGGCGATCTGAAAAAAAAAGAAAATGATCAGCAGGAGATCATAAGGGGATATATGAAAAATATAAATAGAAAAAAACACGTTTTTACTATGAGAAATACTGCAAGAATACAAGGGACTACAGTTAGCCCTGCGAATAACGACTTTCCAACTCCCATAATATGCGGGCATGCACCAGAGCCTGCGACCATTTCGGAGAGTATATTCGCATTCGCACGTACGCACTATAAAACTGGGATTTTCTTTGGGCTAGTTTTTTCCCTTTTACTCCTGATGATTTTATACGTACTAAGGCAAAGAAGGAAGGTCTCACCCCAAAGGAAAAGCGATGAAGAGGCTGGAGTCGGCCTTGTTAAGCCAGGAAAAGTCTCCAACCGAGCAGGAGAAGTTATAGCTTACAACAAATCGCCAGACATTTAGTGAGCTGCACTTATGTGCTGAAACCTCGAATAAATACCCTAGATTACTATTTATTCTGTTCTCCATAGTATAAGCCTATTTCTGGCATATTCTCAGTCTTTCCAAGATAAAAGGCAGAAGTACAGGCAGAGACAACCTATCACCCTCTAATTACTCGCTGGTTCTCTTATACATGTGCTTTCTATAGTCTGTTTAATCTTCTTATACAGTTAGGAGAGAAAATACTCGTAATTACGTTGTTTCTAGTTATTATGTGATTTTTTTGCTATTTGAAGATCGAGATCACCAAATGCCCATAGTATATAATACAGTAGAAACTGGAAGAATAGAATGACCAACCCACAGACAAACACAACGTATACGGGAATAGCCAACAGCACAGAGAATACTACAGCAATTGTAGACGCTGCCACGGGTTTAGACCTTCCAATTGCATATACCATAATCGGCAATGTCGTATTTCTATTCCTTGCTGCCTTAGTTTTTTGCGGGTTCTTTTATGCTGCTATAGGAAATTTCAGAAAAGAACTGCGGACTTGTAGGTACTCTAAATTCCAAAATGACGAACACGAGAGCATTACTATAGGACTCGACAAGGAATAAGTTCCTATCTAGCACTCCAGGGAAAGAAATCTGTCTCTAACTTCACAGAAGAGGATATCCACGGCAGGAGTATAATAAACGATAAATTCATCGTATGTATGCTATTATTACAACAGAAAGAGGCTTTTGAGACAGAAAATCAGCGAAATATGCACTGAAGATTCATCTGAGCCTTTGACTGTGCATTGCTCATTGTTTCGCATACTCTCGAAAAGACTTAGCTTCTCTGTTTTATCCTCTTCTATGTGAAAGCATAGCTGCTCCTAAATCGTATTGCTTAGATGGGCCTAATTGAGGGATATATTAAACACTGTCTATATAAGCAGATCAACCCTAACGAATAACGGGCAGTTTCACTGACACTTCCACTATTAGAACCTTCTCTATTTCTCTCTGAATATTTTGTATTTGGAATTAACTAAACAGTCATAGTATAGAGTTGGGAGGGAAATACTCGTAAATGCATTGTTTCTAGTTATTATGTGATTTGCATTGTTTTGAGCTAATTAATTATGTGTTTGTTTGTTCTGTTTGAAAAGTGATATCACTAATTACATGTAGTCTATATATACGGTAGAATACGAGAGATTATAATGACTAACCCACTAAACACTTCTAACCCAGTAAACACAACGTATACGCCAATGTCCAACATCACAGAGAATTCTACTGCAATTATAGACACTTTCGTTAAGAAAGGCCCAGTTGTTGTAGTCGGCGTAGCTTTATTTGGATTCCTTGCTTTACTATGTGTTCTCATGTTCATTATTTACCTGATTGACAAATACCTACGAGAAAAAGAGAACTCTCATCGGTACTTTAGATTCCCAAGTACCGAGACCATCAGCATTAATCTAGGGGGCGACAAAAAATAAGTTCCTAGCTAATTCCTCAGAGAAAGAGTATACTTCAACTTCACAGAAGAAGATATTCACAGCAGGAGTAGAATAAATGACAGATTAATCGTATATGCTATTATTACAACAGAAAAAGGCTTTTGGAGGATAAAAGCAGGAATCTCATCGCACTTTCATTGGAAGGGGGTGCATTTACAAGCAGATCAAAAATATCCACCATCCTCTAATTACTCGTTGGTTCTCTTCATATACTCGTACTCTCCAAATTCTGTTTAATCTTCTCTACATAGAATTTTCCTCCAAATATTCTTGTATTTGGAATCAACTAAAAACATAGTATAGAGTTGGGAGGGAAATACTCGTAAATACATTGTAAATTAACTGGGGTTTGCATTGTTTTGAGCTAATTAATTATGTGTTTGTTTGTTCTGTTTGAAAAGTGATATCACTAATTACAAGTAGTCTATATATACAGGAGAATATGAGAGAACATAATGACTAACCCACTAAACACAATGCCCAACATCACAGAGAATTCTACTGCAATTGTAGACACTGACAGTATCGAAAGAGAAGTTATGTTAGTCCGCAATATTGCGGGTATAATACTTTTTGTCGTAGTTGCTTGCGCGCTCATGTACATCTATATACGAAGCAAAAAACAAAACCAGCGGACTCATGGGTACGTTGAATTCAAAAATCGCAAAGACCCCAGCGATACTATAAAATTCGACAAGAAGTAAGTTCCTATCTAGCACTCCAGGGAAAGAGTATACTTCAAATTCACAGAAGGAAATAGGATAAAGAATAAACGTATAAAAATAATACAAAAAGTCTACAGATTGTTTCCAAAAAGTACGTATTCTCCTGTATGTGCAGTTCAAAGTGTTTTACGGGTTTATTTTTTCTTTTGTTTGAGAGTACTCTATGAGATCCAGTGAGAAACAGACATAATGTTGGTATACAGATGACGTATACAGAGTCCCATTTGTTGTTTCCGGGATAGATTAATCTATTTATAACACAAACACAACAGATATTTCCAATATTTACACTGATTATCTTAGTGTTTGTTTGGGAGTAAACACATATAGTCTATATATACAGGAGAATACGAGAGAATATAATGTCCAACTCCGAAAGAAATGCCACTGTTGTGGAAGACAGAATTGTTGGAGATGCCTTATTTGACATGCAGAACCCCATTATATTAGTAATTGTTATATGTGCTTTATTGTCCTTCGTGTGTTTTATTATGTACATCTGCATAAGAAACCGCCACAGAAAAAACAAGTCCAAACAAAATAATGAAAACAGCGACAATGACTCCTTAAGAACAATCCAATTTCTAACCCGAATAGCTGCCCGAGACGAGGGGAGAGAATCCGTAGAAATGATGGAGATGAAAGGACTTCTCAAGTACCCCAACCTCCACCCTTATATGCCAGAGCCAGAGAACAGATAGTATGTTTCATAAACGCCTTTTCTCTTTCGTAATGCCCAGTGCACAAATAAAGAAGCATCTTTTGCTTTTCCCAAGCCCAGGAAATGAGTATATGCATAGTAATTGTATGCTATATACGGACTATAAACTCTCTGAATACTTACACTTTACGGATTTACTGCATATATGCTCAGACTTATTGCATCTGGAAGAGGCTTTTGGGAATAAAAGCAGGAAGAGCATATACAAGCACATCACAACTATTCATCAGCCTCTAACTATTCGTCCATTATTGCTTTCTTATACGGAGCATTCCTTCAAAAAGACGCAACTTCTCTAATTCTCTCTGGCTTCTTGCCTTGGGAATAAACAAGCATATTCCCAGCAGGAGGGAGATCCATCGCATTCTTGCTCGTTTTTGGCCTGCTGAGTGCTTCCGCTTAACCTAAAGACGCACATACTTCTGACATTTGCCCTTTGTTTATGCCCAAGCAGCAAGAGTCATAGCATACGCTTTCATCTCACCCGCAGAAACTCTAGATACGATAAAGCCCCGGCGAAGAGTCTCTGAGCAGCAAAGAGATGGAAGCCCGCGGGAAATCTGCAGGGCCTGAACCACTGAAAGAGCGAAAGAAGAGAAGGCAGAAGATTTTGGGAAAGTTGAAGGCTTAATCCCCGTACAGCCCAATCTGAGAGTAAATCCAAAGAAAATCCCGCACAAACCCGTACATATTTTTGAAAAAGATACAGGTTATTTTTTAGCACAAAAATCACCAAAATCACTCACCAGAAACCTCCCTATAATACGTCATGCACCCCCGGAAAAACACATACGCACCAAACAAGCACCCCAGAAACCACCAACCAATTTTCAGGCACACTTTTCTTCCCTGCATTTTCCCGTCCTTCCGTGCGTATATCCGCAAAAATAATTTCGCATTTTCATGAGGGAAATTCTGGAAGAAGCCCCCAGAAGCGAGACCAGCAGGCACCGCGTGGAAGAACTCCTCAAAGTATTCGGAGCCAAAACAAGCGAGAACTTCAACGTAAACTACACAATTTTACTGCACATTAGCAACACCTACTACAAGACCCTCCACAGAGTCCACAGCATCCAGAGAAGGACAAACGAGAATCTCCAGGCCCTTTACAAGTACAACAAGATAAAAGACACAGCACAGGATATTTTAGCAAAAATAGCAGAAATAAAGGGCATAACCCTCAGGGAAGTCGCAGAGGAGTACGAAGCCCCAGAATAGCCAGACACGAGGGAGTGTATATTCCCTGGTTAATGTATCCGCTTTGGTCCAGTGGCTAGGATTTCGCCCTCTCACGGCGACGGCCGGGGTTCGATTCCCTGAAGCGGAATATTTTTTGCTTTTTTAATTTGCAGGCCATGCTTTCGTACAGGGAGTTTAGCGCGCTCGAGTTCTTGGACCCGAACTTGGTGAACCTCGACGAGAAGACTGTTTCTTTTTCGATGGACTTTTACTTCAGGTATTTGATGGGTCACTCAAGATACTGTGTTTCTGCACTCTCTGAGGGAGCAGTTGCAGGATACATTATAGGAAACTCTGGGAAATACAGGGAAACAGAGACTCTGTACTCGCACGTTACAGCACTGAGTGTAGCACCTGCGTGGAGGAGATTCGGGGTGGGGAGAAGACTCCTTCAGCTCTACAGAATGAATGCGGAGATGGACTGCTCTGAGTTTACAGACTTATTCGTCCGGGCTTCCAACGAGGCTGCAATACACTTCTACGAGAAGCAGGGATACATAAAGCACGAGCGCATAGAAGAGTACTATGCAGAGCCAGTAGAAGACGCGTACGATATGCGGCTGTACAAAAGTGCTCTGGAAGGCCTGAATAAATAGCGAAGTTTCAGGTCTTTATTAGGTTATCTGCAGGAAAGTCTGCATTTCAGGTTCAGGTTATTTTGGGATTCACATCGGAGATCACGGGCTCTCCTTCGGATATGTGCGCGGGGAGGGAATTTCCTGCACATCCCCTGAGTTTCAGGGCCGATAAATTTTCAGGTATTCCCTCGCTCCGCCTGCACTCTCAGAAAACTCCCCGAGAGATCGGCCACGGAATTTTCCCTTTGATTTTCTCACATCAGGCATTCCGGTATTCCTCTGGATTTATCACAGGGAATATTGCTGCTGAGGCTAGTGCTTGGTTCCAGTAAAGATTTATTCTAGTTGCAATACGGGAAGTTCTAGTGAATTTTCAGCCTTTATTATTCATTGGAGTGCTTAAATACTTATGTATTTATTCTATAGTTGCAATACGGGAAGATATCTTTAGAAACTTCAGCCTTTATTATTCTTTTTCAACTGCTTAGATTACTTATGTATTTATTCTATAGTTGCAATACGGGAAGTTCTAGTGAATTTTCAGCCTTTATTATTCATTGGAGTGCTTAAATACTTTATAATCTCCGTATTTCTCCTGATCCCCCACTTCTGGAGTACCTTTATTCATCGCCTAAACAACAACCAAACACGAGCAACTGCTTTCACATAGAACAAATACTCTTTGGAGAACTCTGACTTTCAACTACCGATTGACTTAATTCTATACTCTTCTTATGTGCATCTGAAATTGAACTTTCTCGCGTATCTGTGCTTTTGCGATCCTGGGATCTCCACTCCTTCGCACCCACATCATAACCGCCAAACCTGATTTCACCGTCTCTGATCCTATGGGAATTCAATAACTCCCTCGGGATACTCAGATCGCAGATACTCTACAGGAGAGGACTTATAGCAGAGACGATGTTTTCGTTCAGGAAGGCAGAGTATGTCCTCTCTATGTCGGAGAGCTGCTTTGAAACCTCTTCTGCGAGCGTATGACTCCCCTCCTGGACCTCTACGCGGACAACGTACTTGCTGGAAAGCGTATTCGAGAGCTTGTAGAGGATGGAAAGCCCTATAAGCCCAACCATAGAGCAGTGAGGGATCGTAGGAACTACCGTAATACGGACTAAGTGCCCGGAAAGAAGTTCCTGCACGCAGACTCTCTCCAAAGAAACCACGCGAAGCTCCTCCAAAGAGTAGTTATGCTCCGGATCCTTTATGCTTCTGATCACCTGGAAGATACTCTCCTCATTCACCAGCAACTCACCGTCCTCCCAAACAAGCTCATACTCTCTCCCCACGGGCTGTACCTCCGGTCTCTCGTTCATGAAAATATTTGAAGAAATCCGCAGAAAATATAGCAGATGCGAACACGTGAATCTTTATTTCCCAGGATCTACTCAGTAGTTCAGTGCCTCTCCCTTTGCCTTCTTCTGTGCTCCGATTTCTACGTGCTTTGCTCTCTTGAACACTTTGCACTGCTTTCTCTTGCACTTAGAGCACTCCATCTTCAGAACGACTTTCTTCGTGGTCTTTGCCTTCCTCCTCAGAATAGGCTTAGTCTGACCACCGAATCCCTTCTGCTTTCTCTTATACCTACGGGCACCCTGAGCAGCTGGTCTTTCCTTGCTCTTCTTATAGAGAGATACTTTATGCACTTCGTGAGCATTGCACTTCTGGCAGTGAGTCTTTCTCGTCTTCGGGTAGTTTACCATGCAGGGCTAAAAAATAAAATAAATATTTCTCGGTTCGTCCCCGCAAAAAGTGTCCGTGACTTTCCAAAGGGAATATTTAGACTAGTAAAAATAGTACGAATATAACAGGAATATCCAGAGACTAGTAAATATAGTTCGAATGTAACAGGAATATTTAGAATAGTAAATATAGTTCGAATGTAACGATAATATCCAGACTAGTAATATAACGGGAATATAACGATAATATTCATAGACTAGTAATACAACGATAATATCCAGACTAGTAATATAACGGGAATATAACGACAATATTTAGACTAGTAATATAACGATAACATTCATAGACTAGTAAATATAACAGAAATATTCATAGACTAGTAAACAGTAACCATATGACAACTGATGATAGAGATGATAAACTCAGGAGGAGAAGGAGATTCCTGCCTCTTTGAACTTAATAAGGAGAAACAGAAAGTCCTCAACTGTCATTTTTGAAGCTCTTTCCTTGTCCAGGCGGCTCTCCTCCAGGGCCCCCAGAAGTCTCTTCTCCTCCTCCGGGGATATTCTAGTGGGCTCATCCGGAGAGTCCTCCACAGCATCTTCAGGAAGTGAATCTATCTTATCTTTGTTCGTGAAAAGGAGGTTTTTAATCGCACTCTGCTTGAAGATAGATCCTATCGTCTTATTCTTTCGGCTGAAGCATATTTTCAGCATCCCGTCAAATTCGTTGAGGTCTATATCTATCTTATTCCTCCTGGGCTCAATCCGGACGATGCTGGACTCAACCTTCGGAGGAGGCCGGAAGTTCTTCTTCGAGACTTTCATGATGTGCTGGACAGTAGCTCTCGCCTGCACGGAGACAGAAAGTCTGCAGTAGCTTGAACTCCCTGGAGTCGCACAGAGTCTATTAGCAAACTCCCTCTGGAACATCAGGATACACACGCGAAATGGAGACTCTAGAAGCTTAAAGACGAGGGGACTGCTTATTTGGTACGGAGTATTCGAGACGCAAAGATCAAAGTATGGATATTCTACTTCTAAAGCATCGTTTATGATGAGTTGCAGCTTTGTCTTTCTGCTGCCTACTCTCTTGATTAAGTTAGTAGCTATCTTCCTGTCTTTCTCCACGGCAACTACCTTCTTGCACTTATCCAGAAGCTTCAGAGTCAAATTCCCAGTTCCTGGGCCTATCTCCAAGACAGTGTCTGTTGCTCGTATGCGTGCTTTATCCACCATCGTAGTCACTATCCCGGGATTTTTCAGTAAGTGCTGGCCGAATGTCTTCTTAAACCGTCCGTCCATTTGCAAAACAGAATTTTTCCAATATTTTTCGCATTTATCCCCGTGCGAAAAAGAAATACGGGGAGAAGGAAATGAAAAAAGATCAGGAGATGCCGGGAGTTTATAGGAAGAAAAAACCTATTTTTAACGGTCAAAACAGAAAATCACTTTTCAAGTGCAGGTTATACTAGGCAGAGTCTTGCAGTCAATGCAATCCTAGCAACATGAAGACAGTAATATGAAGACAGCAATTCATCCTAGCAATTAGAGACAGTAATTCATCCTAGTAATACACTCCTAGTAATATGAAGACAGTAATTCATCCTAGTAATATGAGGACAGTAATATATCCTAGTAATTCATCTTTAGCAATATATCCTAGTATTTAGAGACAGTAATTCATCCTAGTAATACACTCCTAGTAATATGAAGACAGTAATATAACCCAGTAATATATCCTAGTAATTTAACCTAGTAATATAACTCGTGATTTATCCTAGTAATTAGAGACAGTAATATGAAGACAGTAATACAATCCTAGTAATATAACTCGTGATTTAACCCGAGTATAACATGTGAACAATCTGAGCGTGCAACTGCACTGATTCACCCAGAGTTGCAACCGATGATCTCATTACGCCCGGAGTATCCCTGATTTCTCCCTTCAATTACTAATAATATTTATTTATTTTGTAAATTAATACGCATGGATTCAAATGGATACGATGCCACGGGACTCTCATCCTCTATTTTGGCAGCAGGCTTGCTCATCCCCACAATCGTTGGAGTATACTTCCTGAGGAGCAAACACACAGCTAGAAAGCCCTGCAAGTGCACGTACTGCACTCGTTTCAAGAAAACTGCGAAAATAGACAAGTACAGAGTCCTATTCTTCGTTCTTTTGGCGCTTTTAGTGCTTCCCGTCTACAATATACTCTCCCAGGAGTACAACCGAAGCACAACCAAAGACCCGTATAAGACCCTCGGAGTATCAAACTCAGTCGACGATAAGGGCGTGGAAAAAGCCTACAGAAAAGCCGTCAGAAAAACAAAACTCTCCCGCATGGAGAAAGCAGAAGAGAAAAAAACAATACAGGAAATTCTAAAGGCAAAAGACCTCCTCCTGGACAGAGAGGCAAGAGACAGGTGGGACTCATTTGGAGATGCTCCCACCACGAAGAGTCACATAATTGCAATTCCCTCCTGGCTCATGACAAAGTACAACCCCGTGATACTCATATTCCTGTACGTCCTCATCCTCGGAGTCCTCCTTCCGAAGGGAGTCTCCTACATATGGATGTACTCCTTCGAATACTCCTCGAGTGGAATCCTGTACAGAAGCACAGAATCCCTCTATAAAGCACTGAAGAAGGCAGAAGTCGCAGATATTATCGGACTCCTCGTCCTCCTCAACAGAAGCACAGCAGAACTCTCCGAATACGCCCCAAAGACTCCCCCAGAAGCCGTGGAGAAACTTCGAGAGATCATCCGGCGGAAGTACCCGCTGAAAATCCCGATGAAAACGGAGACATTCGCCCTCTCCCTCGGACTCCTTCTCCTGCGAGATGCGGAAGTTCTTCCTCTCATCAGCCCGCAGGATATAGAGTATCTCCAGGCCTGGATAGTCCTTTCCACGCACGCAGTAAAGGCTCTTTCCACGGGAGTCAAGAATAGAGATCTATACTACACGGCAGGAGACCTGGAGAAGTGCATTATTCAGGCAGTTCCCACTCCGAAGTACTACCAGATGCAGGGAGGAAGGTCTTTTGAAGAGGTTTTTCTCTCGGACTTTGAGGGGAGTCCCGTGGAGGAGAGGACGCCCGTGGATGAAGAAATGTTTCGGGTGGAGATATCAGGAATGGAGATGTACAATGCAGAGGATGGAAGCATAAAAGATAACGGATTTATAACAGGGACAATGGATACGGTCGTGAGAGTCTTCGTGGAGAGGGAGGGAGAGAGCGTGTATACGCCCGCAGTGATCCCGAGAGCCTCAGAGAAGGCGTGCGATACGGGGGATTTGGAGGAGCTGGAGGCAGGAGGAGAGGAACTATTTCCGTCTGCCCTCGAGAAGTATCCGATTCTCGTGCGGAGTGCAGGGGAGGAGAGTGTCCATGCGCCGATGTTCTTTGAGGAGAGGGCGTACACGTGGAAGTGCGTCCTGGAGTTGAACGAGGAGATTCTCATGGAGTCGTACGCGTTTACTCCAGGGCGAGGAGGGAGTGAGATCTTCTTCAAAGTCCCCCCGATGAAGAATCTCATCGTCTCTCGGAGGGCGGAGGTTCAGGCTCGGCTCGTGTGCACGAACTACTTCAACCGGGACAGGAGCAGGAGAATGTCCGCAATGATTAAATAAAAGCAGGTAAACAGGCATACAGGTATATGAGTATAGGAGTATACGGGTATATGGTTATATGGTTTCAACGGTTATATGGTTTTAACGGATAAATTTCAGGTTCAGTAGATTATATGGTTCAACGGATAAACAATTAGACGGTTAGATATTTTCAACTGTTATACGGTTTCAACGGATAAATTTTAGGTTTAGTGGATTATACGGTTATACGAGTATACGGGTATACGGTTTCAGTAGATTATATGGTTCAACGGATAAATTTCAGGTTCAGTAGATAATATGGTTAAACAATTAGACAGTTTCAACGGTTATATGGTTATAGGAGAGTATACGGGTATACGGTTTCAGTAGATTATATGGTTATATGTTTCAACGGTTAAACAATTAGACAGTTACACAGTTTCAACGGTTATATGGTTTCAACGGATAAATTTCAGGTTCAGTAGATTATATGAGTATACGGTTAGACAATTAGACAGTTAGACAGTTTCAACGGATAATTTTCAGGTTCAGTAAGATAAATAAAAGCAGTTAGACAGTCATACGAATATACGGTTAAATTTAGGTTCAACAGGTTATATGGTTTCAACGGTTAAATTCCAGATTCACTAGATAAACAATTAGACAGTTACACAGTTTCAACTGCTAACCACATATTCCGTTAACCAATTACACAGTTACCCAGTTATATGGCTTCAACGGATAATTTTCAGGTTCAAACTTCAGACTTTATTACTTGCTTCTAAGCCTGGGGTCGAGAGGCCGGAGAGTTCCCCTTCTCTCCTTCAGGGACTTCTTTCTGATGGTTTCCTCCCTCAGCCTGTACATCTCAGTGCAGGCCGTGGCTTCATTCTTCACTTCCGAGGCGGGGATGGAGTCGATAGTTGGCTTCTTCTTGATGACTGGGAGAATTGCTGCCTTGTGCTGGACTGCTCCTGCCTCCAGGGCTTCACTCTTGCTTTCATAGACCGTTATCTTTGAGAGATATTCTTTGATTCTTTCAACGTTCAGGGTCAGGGACTCCACAGACTTCGTGTACCTCTTTATATCTACGGCAATTCCCAGCTCCCTCGCTTCTTTCACTGTGAGACCTGCCTGAGTGACTTCAACGATCGAGAATCCGCGGCCGAGTCTCTGGTTGATGTTGTATCTTCTGCTGTTGCATCTTACAACGGGCCTAAGCAGCTCTACGTTAGTTGGGGCAATTTTCTTTGCAGCCTCCTGCCTTTTCTCTCTTCTTATCCTCTTCTGGATGGCCTGCCCAAACCATGTCTTGTACTTTAGGGAGGTCTTCTTAAAATGTCCGGTGCTTAATGAGTTATTATGCTTCATATCCCTTGCAGAAAGAATAAAAAAAAACTATTATAAAATGTTGCAGTGGGGAAGAAAAGGCCTGGAGTATCTGGGGGTGGGGTGGAATAATAAGTCTGGGTTGATCTTCGGGGGATAAGCATGCTACGATGGGGGAGATCTTATTGCTCGTTTTTACGGGGTGAGGGCGCATATTCTGCTGGTTTCTCGGATGAAAAAACGGCAAGACCTGTTCTGGGGCCATTCTGAGCGGGGGAACCGGGAGTATGTGCATCCTCGGGGCGCAAGAAGCACCTCTGTCCTTTCCCTGGAGTTCCTGCACGCTTTCTCGCACGCTTCCTCAAAAAAGTCCGAGAAACTGCCTCAAAAGAGGGATTTTTCATACTTTCACAGGAAATGGCCCAATCCACGCGTGCACATCCTACACCCACCCCTCCCGCGCGAGTATCCCGAACAATCACAAACAATCACCGAATAACCCCGAAGGATTCTCTCTCCACGCTGTCTCTCCCAAGACGAAATATGTTTTATTTTTAATTTTTTACTCCCCTTGTATGAGCATTCAAAGTATAACAGCAAAAGGTGGTAAAAAGACTGCTGTTGCCGTAAGCACGTGCAGTAATTCGGGACAATTCGAAGTAGTCGTCAATAAAAGGCCCCTTCACCTGTGCAACCCACAGATGATCCTCCCAAAGATCATGGAGCTATTCTCCATACTCGACAGGAAGTACTACGAAGGCCTTTCCTTCAGCGTAAGTGTCCGGGGAGGAGGAGATGTAGCTAAATTATACGCTGTAAGACAGGCAATAGCCAAGTCTCTGATTGCGTACTACGGAAAGTTCGTAGATGAGCAGCTTAGAGCCGACCTGAAAGATGTGATAACAAAGTACGATAGATACATGGTTGTAACTGACTCCAGAAGAAAAGAGCCAAAGAAGGCAGGAGGACCAGGAGCACGTGCAAGATACCAGAAGTCCTTCCGATAGGCCAAGACTGCGCAAATAAAGCACTTTTTCCATATATTCAGGACGTTTTTATATGTTTCTATTTATTCTTTCATTTCCTGTGCCCCCGAAATTCCAGCACGCAGCAGTATTTTGGTGCTCTTTGAAAAATTTGCAAAATTAAAAAATAAAAAGAAATTGGAAAGACAATTCCGGGCTCTTGTTGAAAATATTTTACATGCAGAAAGACGCCTTTACAAAGGAGCTGCACGAGAAGGACGAAGTCATTTCGGAGCTGAAAGAAGCCAGCAGGAGAGACAGAGACAGAGTCTCCGACGCGTACAGGAAGATGGCTTCCCTCCAGGAGAGAGTCCACCACCTGCAAGAAGCCATTAGAGCAGAGAAAAAAGCCGTTTCCTCCCACGAGAAAGCTGCAAGAAGCGCAGAGAAACGGGCAAATGCGCAAATAAAGCGAGCTCTCAGCGCCCTGAAGGAGCCACAGCGTCTCACTGCACGGAGGCTTCTCTCCCTCGAATGGCTCGTCCTGGAGATGGCGAAAAAACTCCGTCTCCCGGGGGAGGAGATTCTCTCCCTCGCAGAAGTCTGCCCAGAGAATGACCCTGCCCTAAAGTGTGCGATAGAAACAGACAAAGAAGAAGACGAAGACAAAGAAGACTTAATAGCGTATTTAGATAAGAATGGAGTAAGAAGTATATTGGGGATAGACATGGACCTTTCTCTCCTGTAGGATTTCCCTATTTTGTGCCGGAAAGTTCCTTCAGGCGCTTCAGGAGTTTTATCTCGTTTATGCTGGGGGGACTCTTTGAAGGGACTTCTGTGACGAGGGGAAAAAGCTCCTTTCTCTCCTGGAGGACTTCCTTCAGAGTCTCTGCTGCTCGCCTGCAGAGGAATATAAGGGCAATTTCCTTCCTCTCCAGGAAGAGGCTGAACTTGGAGAGGATTTCCTCGTCCTCCGTCTTCTCAGAGACTACGTGGAAGTAGTTGAAGACTCCGTGCACGGACTGGGAGGTCCATTCAGAGCCATTTATTCCTGTGAGCTTGAATCCTGTTATTGTAGCTTCATCCGCTAGAAAGGCTATCTTTGTCCGCGTGGAAAGCCCAGTACTGTGCGACATTTAATTTTTTCAAGTAAATATTTGCATATATACGTATAGTACTCTCTTCTCGGTACTTGCTGATAGTTGGTGTTTCTGGGTTGGAATTCTTCCTTGTTTTTTCCTGTTTTTGCTTGTTCTTCCTTGCTTCGTACTCTCTGGGAAGGTCTATTATTCGGGTATTTGGGATTCGGGGATTCACGGGTTACTGGCTGGGGGTAGATGATTCCTTCTCCTGGAGCGCCTGGGACGAGGGGGATGCCTCCTTTTGGCGATGTAGAGGTACTTCACGCAGTTTCCCGGGGTGGTATCCTCGTTTTCCTCTAAAATCGTGAATGCGCTCAGGAGATCTTCTCTGGGAAGGATTTTCACGGCGTGGGAGTTGCTGGGGGTGTTTGGTATCACCAGTACGCCATTACTGTGGGCGTACACCTCTATTTCCATCTCGCCTATTTTGACGGTTTCTCTCCCGTAGAGTCTTTCCTGCTCTCCGTACATGCAAATTTAATTCTGCGAAAATATTTAGTCTTTCCAAAGAGGCAGTTCAGGATAAAATAGGATAAAACAGGATAAAACAAGATAAAACAGTAGGAGTATGCTAGGAATATACTTAAAATATGCTGGGAATATGCTGGGAAAGAGTCAGTTCAAGCTAAACCAGCAGAAGCTTAACATATGCATGAACAGGCGCAGGATCAAGTATGTTCGTATACCCTTTCTGCAGGCTTTCTCTCTTTTCTTCTTTCCAGCATCCTGCAACAGAAGAGCGAGTGAATTCACCCGAATACTCCGAATCTACTCCAAAGAACCATACCTTTGTCGCTCTATGCTCTGCACTATCCCTGAATCCGTGTTTTTATCCCTGAAAATCCCAAAGTACCCGAAAAATCATCCTGGAACCCCCGGGAAAAACACTATCCCCCCAAATTCCTCCGAGAAACACGAACTCTCACCCCCACGGAAATTTGCAAATTTCCATCTTCCCAGAAACTTCTACTTTTATTTTTTTTCCTTCTCCCTTGCAAAATGAGCAGAAAAGTAAAGACGAATGTTTTAAGCATAGCATCCCAGCTGCCGCTTGTCATTAAAACAGGAAAATACTACGTAGGCTTCAGACAGACTATGAGCACCTTAATAAACGAAACCTGCAAGTGCATCATCCTCACAAAGAACTACCCAGAAGTCAAGAAGATGCAGATAGAGTACTATGCGAAGCTTGGAGGAAATGTTCCCGTATACATGTTTGACGGAACGAACAGAGACCTTGCAAACCTATGCGGATCCCACTTTAGAATGGGAGTTATCTCCATCCTCGACGGGGGAGAAGCAGATCTTATCCATCTAACCGAATAAAAGCCAGATTCTACGACTTACTTCGATCTTTTCCTGGGAAATCCAGAGAGTCCCCGCGGAGAGCAGGCCTGCAAGGAATATCCCGTTCAGAGCGTGCAGGAGGAGAGAAAGAGTCCGCCGGAGACTCTCCGAAGACTTCTCGAAGTTCGTGAGGAAGTGCAGGAAGGAGAGCGCGAATACGCCCACGGGATACGCATTCACAGGGAAAGACTCCGGGAGAAATCCTGCAAATCCTGCAGCATATCCTGCGAGGAGAGAAGAGAGAGTGAGAGCATGCGCAGAGTCAGGGACTAGAGCATTGATGAAGAAGGCGAGGGAGTACGGAGATTGCACGTGGAGAGAGATTCCTGCGAGGATGCTCCACTTCGCAAGGGCCTGATATATCGCAATGTCGCAGGCACTTCCCGTGTCGTACTCTACGGCTATGCTGGAAGCCCGGATGAATGTTATATACGCTATATATAGAAGAGGAAGGCAGGAGAGAGCAGGTCCTGGGGAGTCAAGAAGGAGGATAGTTCCTGCTCTTGCAAGGGCGGAGAGGGGAAGTGCTGCAAGGAAAGTGTCCAGAGTCCTGCGAAAGTGCAGGGTTTTGCTGCAGTTTTCCCTCCTGGCTGCTGAGAGAATTTCAAATGGCTTCATTTCTATGGCAAACAATAAACATTTTATTCGTCGCAATTTTATCCTATT